CTGGCTTCTGCTAAAATCTGTATTGCTTTTCATTCAAGAATATAACAAAATTAAAAAAAAAAAAAGCTAGCAATTTCCTTAGTATGCTTTTCCCCTTTTAAGGTATTTGAAGTAGTAGAACGTGTTGAAGAATTGAGGAGAAAGTGGCCAGTAGCCTGGGGAAAGTTGGATGATGGCAGCATAGGTGTTGTAACACCATATGCTGATCAAGTGTTCCGGATTCGGGCAGAGCTTCGGAAAAAAAGATTGTCTGATGTCAGTGTTGAAAGAGTGTTAAATGTTCAGGGTAAGTAATATATGATTTGATTTGATTATGTGCCATAAAGTCAGTGTCAACTTTTAGTGACCACCCAGATAGATACCTACCTTTGAATGCAAGAATCTAGCTGAGAGTTGGAATGGCATTAAAGTATCAGCAGTTCATAATACTACTGGGATTTAAAAACTCAGTCCTTCAAAAATCGTGGGATACCCTTTGAGGCAAGGCACTAGCAAAATTCAGTGGCTGTGATCATTAATATCAGTAAATCTTTCCAAGAAACACTCAATATATGAAGTTGGAAAGGAACATAGTAGAATTCTGCAAAAGGATTCTATATAGAGGCAGACTGTGAAAGAAACAAAAATAATACCAAATCAGTGCTGGTCAAAGACCATAACAAATTTAATTTTTACTAAGATTGTGAATCTTAGTAAAGGTCTGAATCTTTGTTTCTTGTTTCTCCAGGAAAGTTGCCTTTCTTCCTATTTCTGTTCTTTTGATGGGTTCAAGTAGAAACTAGAGTTTTTAATAGTTCTTAGAACCTATGAAAAATGTAAGGATACTTAATTCTTAGGTACAAACATCATTTACACACGACTTTCTTTTTACCAACCTTAGTAGGATACCTGCTTGTCTCCTATCTATCATTATTTTCTTACTCCCTTATTTAGAGTTAGCTTTTTCTTTCCCAGGATTATTCCTATGCCTTTTGATTTTCCCAGTAATTTCCCATTTCTGATCTTTTTTGTAAATTTAATCTCTGTTGTCCTCCATTTGTATGGGTACAAGCAAATAGAAAATTACCTCCAGTGGCACCTCATGATTCAGAGCTAAAGTTCCCAACATGTGCCATTTATGTATTAACAGAGTATTATTGTACAGTTACTATACATATGTAGGTAAAATTATGGCAACATCACACACCCCGTGCCAATGTTTTTAATGCAACAGAATTTAATAGCTCTGAAGAAGTCAACATTTAAGCATGATTATTAATATTAAAGCAAATAATGAATGTTCTTGGTATTTCTAATTATTTTAGAATATTTATTTTCTAATTATTGTAGCACAAATATCTTCAGGTGAGCAGTAGTTATTCACTTGTCAGAAATAGATGTAAACAGTCAATATATGTAGTCATGTAGTAGTGTTTCTAGCAAAAAAAGAGGCTAACATTACCCCATACTCTTCCTTCTTCAGGAAAGCAGTTTCGAGTGTTGTTTCTCAGCACAGTACGAACACGGCACACTTGCAAACACAAGCAAACAGCAATGAAACGGAAGGAACATTTATTGGAAGATTCAACAGAGGACTTAGATTATGGTTTTCTGTCCAATTACAAACTTCTCAACACAGCCATTACAAGAGCACAGTCCCTAGTAGCTGTGGTGGGCGACCCAATCGCTTTATGTTCCATTGGAAGATGCAGGTACACCAAATGTGTGGTATGACCAAACAATAAATAATAGTGATGAAAGGCTTACTGTGTTTTTGATAATTGATTCTCATATCTGCCCTGCTTCACCTGGCTGGAGTCTTTAGACTTCGATGGCTGGTGTGGGTCTTCCGGGC